CTGAGATATTACATGAGATTGATCACAAAGGCTGTTTAGTTTCAGAGAAACAATCCCAACAAGTAAATATTTCATAAGCTTTTTTCACATAAAATTCTTTTTCTCTTTATTCCTTTTCCTTTCTGAAATTGTGAAACCAAGTACTATAATTTTGGATCTGTATTCAGATAAAATGCAAGTACTAAGGTAAGACTGTCAGATCCGGGTGCTTGCAAATAGTTCCAGGTCAACAAAGCATATGTTTTTGCACCTCAGGTACAAGTGATTACAACTGTTGAAACACGTTGTAAAGTCAGAAAAGACATGGTGTCTATATATAAACATTGAACAATTAGGACCACTTTAAATTTTGTATTGTATATGACAAGGGCTTTCAAACTTGTCTTCTTCTGTGTGGACTGTATCTCAGGTCCACCTCATGGCCCATTTGCCCTGTCAGCCATGATTCAGACACACCCCAGAAATACACTCCTCAGATCAGTGGGACTTGTTCTGGCTTTGTATTTTCCCAAGAATTTGTATGATGTTTCAATAAAAAAACAAAAGTAGGCTCACCTTTCCGTTGTAATTAAATTTCAGTGACTAAAGTCAAATGTTTCTGTTTGGGTTACATATTTAATGATGGATGTAATTTGAAAAACCCAAACAAAACTTTCAAGTAAGGTTAACTGAGCTCATTTTACCTAACTTCAAATACAATCCAGCATTGAGGGTTAGAAAGTTGGGTTTGAAACCAGACATGATTAGGTTTGCCTTCTGCTTTGGAGAGAGTGTAGAAACAGCAGAGGAAAATATTTTAGTGTAGGAAGAGTATGCGAAGTAGATCAAAGAAGTATGAAGAGTAAAGAAATACAGAGAAACTGTAGAAAAGGAGCAGAGCACATAGAATGAAAAATTGTAATGAAAAAATAAAAACCATATATTTAGAGGACCTCACTTCTGCCTATTCATCTTTGAGTTTTATTTTTTTTTTAAATCTTGAATACATAACAATAAAACCGTTATGTAGCATTCTATATGGTGACAGCAGTTTTGACTACCACACAGCATTTATGATGGCTAGGAAGAAATATAAATGGTATTTTGATTGATTTCATCTTTGCTGTGAAAGTAAAGTCCATGTCCTTCTTGGGAAGTGGATGCAGAAGACAGTCTTTTTAGGTTCGATGCTCAGGTGACATTTCTAGAAGGTGAATAGAAGGCAGGATGAAAATTTAACCATTGAGACTGGTGAGGAATAGCGCCTCATGTTCTTAAAGCTATGATTGGGAGTGTGGGAAACTTAAACTGTCACTACATGATTACTTTGGTATTGGGTCTTTCAGTAGTTCTTCTTGCTCACCTCGCTTAACTTTCCTTTGCTATTTTTGCACGTGACTTTTGTATTAAAATTTGGAAAGAATGTTTCTTATCCTATGCACCTTTAATTGTAGAGACAGCCTTTAAACAGTAGTAAGATGCTAAGGATGGGAAAACAGTTTCATTTGACTCCTTTCATCCAAGCATGCTATTCACTATTTAAAAAGGAATCAAGAGAAGCAACCCTTATATTTTAGGTAAACTCAAACACTTAAAATTAGGGTTAATTTATGCCAGTGAAAGCCTAAGTAATTTTCTTCTCTGTTGAAAGAACCACCAAATTGCATGGTGCAGCTGGCTGTTTGGATGGGACTCAGAGGTTACCATGACCCCTATAAAATAACTACTATAACGTAGCTGTTTACATAGTCATTGCTGAATTCAGCCCTTTCATTATAAATTGTCTTCCTTTCCATTGTCTATAAGCAAAACCTTCCACATATATATCTTCACTTGGGAACTTTTTGAAAGCAATCATGCAATCATGAATCAAGTCAGGGTTTCACTAAACCATTTCAATTCACCTTCAGAAATGACTATATGAAAACTCAACTCCATTAAATAAAACCTCAGGATTATGAGTAAAAACATTTTAAAAGAAAGATAAAGGCTTTTAAAACACCTAGATGAACCTAGGCTTACGTTTCAAGAGACTGTTTTTCTTCTGCCAGACTGGTTTCACAAACCTACAGCAGTGTACAAGATGCAGATATGCTGGCTCTCTTTCAGGTTTTATGCATGGCAATACTTTCTGAGGACAAAATAGACACCCGACTCTAATCTTGGCTGATGAGTAATAGAGGAAATCTTTTTTACTATTTTTTTTCAAATACAGTACAGGCAACCCCCACTTAACACGATTTTGCTTACCATGGTATCGTTATAACACTCATTTAAAATACCTACCTGGTTTCACTTAGCGCTCAGTGTGTTTTGTTATAGCATTCAGCGTGGAGGGTGGGGAGAAGTAGTTGCAGCAGCAGCGGTGGTGCCATTATCATTGAGTGAAGCGGTGAGTGGCAGCTGACGGAGCCCAGGGGAAAGTAGCAGGAGCCTGGGGTCCAGTCCAGCACGTGGTGCTGCAACAGCCTGCGGGTGGGGAGGAGTGGCGCCGGTGGCAGCAAGAAGGGGAGGGTGGGAGGTGGGACCGTGGGGCTTGGGCCAGTGACCAAGGCTGGGGCCCGAGGCCAGGGCCGGCAGGAGCGCAGGGCCCGAGACCAGAGCCGGCAGAAGCGCGGGGCCTGGGCCAGTGCAAGCCAGTGCTCAAGGACATGTGTGCAGGGTTCCCCGTGCCAGGCTGCAGCGGGGCCAAGCCTGTGGAGCCCTCCCATCCCCAAGCTGCAGCCCATGACCCATTCCGCTCCTGTCATGCATCCACGTGTGGGGTGCAGACACCATCCTGAGCTTCCCCCGTGCTGGCTGGAGCCCTACTGCCTTCTCACTGTTAATCCCTGGGCGGGCAGGTCTCTGACTCAGGCGCTGCAGGTGGGGTGGCTGGGGCTGGTAGCCAGTAGGGGTGGGCTGGCACGGGCTATCGCGGTAATGGAACAATGAGGCCAGGAGGAGCCAATGCCTCCCCTGACGCAGCCCGTGCAGTGCCTTGCCGAGAGTGGCAGGGCCAGGGCCGGCAGGTGGTGCAGAACCAATTATATTTATTTACATTAAACCCTATAGGAAAACGGGCTTTATTTAACGGTGTTTCACTTAGCGCTTGGTTTTTCCAGAACCAATTAAGAGCGCTAAGTGGGGGTTGCCTGTATTACGTCTACTGATGAACATAAGCCACCACTACGTATATATCACATCTAACTTAAGAAATGGGGCCTTTCTTTTTGTGAGTATAATTTTTATTCTTGCAAATAATATCACCAGCTAATAGCCCAAAGCCAAATGTTCATCATCAAATACCTAACCACACCTGCATTTGCACCTATAATAAACCCTGTGTCATTTTAAAATGAGGACTGTTTCTAAATATGTCCATTTTTATTTTCCACAGAAGCTGCTGGATCTGGGTGCCCCTATTTCTCAGTCCCCAATTTGAGACATCTTGGGCCTGTTTTCAAGCAGTATATGCTCACCATGTTCTGAAAAATCAAGCACTTTGAAGCATCTCTCCTTAGGTTCTCAAAAATCACCAGTCACCATGCTAAATTTTAGCTGAAATGTTTTAAGCTATTTGCATTTGTCCACGAGCAAGGCACATTTGGGGGCATTCTGGGTCAAAGTCCTCTATTTCCTCTCTCTTTCGCAAAGTGAAAGGACAAATGTATTCTCTGTTAGTTCAGTCTCCATCTTATCTGCCAGGAAAGGTGTTCCTACTGTTCACCAGGGCACCTGATGAGCAAACCAGGAGTAATGGCCACAAACTCTTGGAAGATCAATTCAGGCTCAACATTAGGAAAAACTTCTTCACAGTCAGGCTGTCCAGACTGGAATAAGCTCCCTCCAGAAGTGGTGCAGTCACCTACCCTGTAAATCTTCAAGAGGAGACTAGACAGTCACCTTGTTGGGGTCACCTGACTCCCAGTTATCTTTCCTGCTTGGTGCAGGTGGCTGGACCTGATGATCTTCCAAGGTCCCTTCCCACCTTACAATCTATGAAACGTAAGAATTCAGGATTGCTGCCAATAGATACTAAAGGCCTACATTATGGAGACAAAGCAAAGGCATGAAATAGTTTTTGCTTTGTGTAAAATTACCTACTGTTCACCTTCCAATTTGTGGGGTTTCACCCCAATGGATCCATACTTTGTATGGAAATACCCGAGCCCTGTCTTGGCTATGCTTCCCCAGCTCAGCCTTGTGCTGAATTGCAGAGGTCACCACAGAGCACAGGTTCTCCATGCATGGAGATCCCAGATAGTTATTACCTCCTGTCAGACTGGCATATAGATTTTAAGCTGCCTTTGGGTACTAGGCATCCATAAAGAGCTTCTGAGAATTTAACCCTGGGCCTTTTCAAGGAAATTGCATAATTATTTCCAGTTCGTGGATTCAGGAACATTAAACACTCCCTTCTTGGAGTATTGGAGTAGCTAACACCACTGAGTTATTTAAGAGTATGTGGAAGCCAGGTAAACAATAGGATATAATGGCATTTTTGTAATTTGTAACAGTCATTCAAGGCCCAAAATTCAGCATTATAAATACAGAAATGTCTGTGCACATATTGACCCAACAGACCACAATGATACCAAAGAAGCTATTATTGGTGTCCAGGTAAAAATATGCATTTTCCAAAATAGCTTGTACATTCAAATACATATTTACCAAAGGGATTATATCAATTTTGGAGGAACCAACACAATCTAGAAGGTAAAAAAATAATACAGAGAGGATCCCTAACTTCCTAGATTGCAAATATATTCATAGTTATGTCAGGGAAGCATCATCTGTAGTCAGAATGTTCCTTTGTTTTATTAATGGGTTTGCTTTGAGTTAATTCTATTACCACATTTGGGTTTTGGATCACTCTGTTCCCTAGAGGATCATGTTGCAGAGTCCTGTGGTGAGGAAACAAGGAAAACTACTTCTTTGTAAATAAAATAAGCACTGGTGAATCACCAAACCCAAGAACAGTGCAGAAGATTGCAGGCTGCTGTACATAACCCCCTCCACAAAGAACAGACCCAGACAAAGGGCCAAATCATCAGCTAGCATATTATTGTCAGACCTTTGCAAATTTGCACGCACTGCACAGCTGGTGCACAGGCTTCCTGAGAAAGAGAGAGTTCATCTCGGTAATGCTACCCTGTTTTTGAATGCAACTTATTGTGGGATCTAAATGGCAGCAACCCTCTCCATCATTTGTGCCTTGGTTTACTCATCTGTAAAAAGCAAACAAGCACTTACCTGCCTCACAGGATTGTGTGTCTGATTCATCATTCTATATGATCTGTGCTCATATGGTATGTGTAGAGACCTGAGCTTCTTGCAAGGAAGGAGCTACTTAAGTGTAAAGCATGATTAGCATTCCAAGCTGGTAAGCCTGCAGTAGGTCTGGTTCTGTAATATCTCAGTTTCTAAGGCTCTGAAACCAGAAAGCCCTGACTCTGTGTCAAACATTACTTCTTTTTTTAGATGAAATAGGTCTTAAAAACATCTCAGTCCAGAATGGAAACCTGTGGGCAGTTAAGTAATCCTAACTATGCTCATTCAAAGAGGACAGGCTATAAAAAAGTTGTCCCCAATTTTCTGCTTTTTTCGCATGTTGCTCAGTTTGTTTTGACAATGTCTGCACACGTTACTTACCCCCTCTTCCTCCTCTTCATCTGAGCTATCACCATCCCCTTCCTCTTCTGATGAGTCACTGCTCTAAACAAAAGGAGAAATATGAGCATTTTATTTCATGTGCACCCAGGAAAGACCCAGCTCACTCAAATATTGGTGGGGTACTGTTCACATCAAAGTTAATGGAAGCTGTGTGAGGCTGCATATAATGCAGGTACCTCTGCAACAGTTATTCATCTTTAAGGATGTCCAAAATGTTCAACAGATTCTGTTGATCCAATAATTAAGAAGGGGAACTATTGATAGAGAGTGATGTGGGGAAGAATTTGTAACGTCAGTCTAAATATGAGATGTGTATGGAATGCAATATTCAAAGTCACACTGATAGTTCCACCAACTTCCCAGGGAAGGAAGTTGTACATGTAGAGAGAGGGAAGTTTTCAATGTAGAGATAGGGAAAGTGCCTTTCATCCCAGAACATTTCATACAATGTTATGCAAGTGCAGCAAGCCATGCAAGTGACTTTCAGGGTGAAGCCAGCCAGAACACAACTGCTTCACAATTACATTGTGAAGTGACACATCTGTACATATCACAGAGGTATCTAGGAACTTCTTGAAACTTCACACAGGTGACAGATTTTAACATCTTGCCTCAGCCATATATTCAGTGGGCTTCATGAAACTTTGGGTGTGTAGAAGAAGCAGGGGCTCTAGATTGAAGCAGTGGATTTTTTAAAATACTGCTTCAATTTAGGGTGAAGTGATCCCCATGTTGTGCACACACCCATGCACTTACCCGCCTCTCTGGCAGCAGGGAGGAGAGGGCAAGCTGCTGGGAGGTGGAGCAGTCCCTGGGCTGTGGGGGGCAGGGCTGGTGCTTCCTTCGCAGCAGTGGTGGCCCCCCCTACAAGGCAGCACCTACCCACAGGCACCTGGCTCGGGTGGTCCCGGGGGGCCTCAGTTAAATTAATCCTGATTTACATCACTGCAAATCCATCAGAATTAGTTTCAGTGGTTAGACTGCCCGTCAGGCTAGATTATAAAATGTTCCACACCATTACTGCTCCCTGGAGCCTTGATTTTATTCAAACCAGCTGAGAATCTGTCCCACCAGGGCCCTGTTTAGCTACTTAAGGTTTCTCTCCTTGGCACAATTTCATTTCGGTCAGAAGAATATATGAAATTAAAGTTTAGTGGCAATGAAGTCACTGAAGCCAGGATTTCAAATCTGTTTTGATAATACACTTGAGCAGCTCACCTAGCTCCATTTTAAATTATAGAGAAAAATTGCTCAAACCCAGAAGAGGATTTGAGAGATTTGCACAACCTTATACTAGGCTAGCTTTAACCAGCCTAATAATATATTACCATCCCTAAGTGCAGTCCACTGAATGTGCTGAATCCAATTCAGTCCTGCTGCAAGTGAACATACTGCTACTGTTTTTAAGTAAAAACAATGAATTATTCCTACTTATGCCACAGTGGAGTTCAAACTGACCCACACCAGACTTTGAACCATTTGACATTTACAGTGACTTTTGTCCAATGAGTGTCTTAAATGTATGTACAGTATCATAATCTAACAGGCAATATTAAGGAGCTTACTTTAAAATAAAATCAGATTTTAAAAGCTGCATTTACCTGCATTCTTCTCTGTGGTGGATACACATAGGCATATCTGTAAAAATAATATCGATGCCTGTTCTTGAAAACCTAGTAGAAAAGTAAAGAAACCATATCAATTTTGGTTTCAAATACTGAAGCTTAAAAAACATGCAAGGATAAATCCAAGAACATGAACAAAGTACTGCAGATCCAAGAAAAGTGTGAAATTACAATGTACTGGCTACACCACACATGCCTGTAGACATGGTGGGAAGCTGCTTCAATGCACTGTAATTGCAGTGCATTAGAGCAGACTCGATTAATCAAGTATGCTGGAGCATAATAATTAGCATGCTCCAGCCAGCCTTCATGTCTTATGCATCAGCATTCCTGTGCTTCAAAAAGACGATGTGGGCTCTTTAACTAAAGCTTGTTTGACAAGCTTTAGTTATAGCATCCCCGCCACTATTCTGAAGTACAGGGGCGCTGGTACATAAGATGCTGTGGTACTTTAATTAGATTGGCTTTCAGAGCTGCTCTAATTAAAGTGCCCTCCCCCCACCCTGGAGCACATGAAAAATGCCCTAACTGCCCAGGCACATGGTCTTATTCTGCAGCAAGAGGTAGCTATCACAATTTCATTGAGGGCTAAACTACCTCTCATTTTACTGTAGAATAGGAACAGAGGCAGGTAGCACAGAGTCATTAACATACTCCTGTAAGTTCATACCTTTGCCTACCTTGTAAAAGTTTCTTATGCCCCCCCAAAAGACAAATATAGTTCAGCAAGTCCAGTCTCATACCGCATTTTCTTCAGAGTCATCTGATTTTGCTCTTCTGCGGAAGCTCTTGATCTATAAGAAAAAAGGTTGAGTTACTGAATGTGCCTCACATTTACAAAAGGCACCAAGGCTATTTGATTGCAGCATTCTAACTTTTCAAATGATTTGTAATGGTACATACATTCGTTACTTTTAAATGCCCATCTGTGCAGGCATTAAGAGGAGTTAAATTGGGCAAAAAAATGGCAGACCTGATTTAAGTTAGTTCACTTCTTCAGATTAACTAACTTAGACCAGGAACAGGTTAACTCAATCTATCAAACATCAGTACATATTTGAAGCGCAGCCCTGGGCCTGGGAAAACTTGGCTTGCCTCAGCCCTGGGGCTGTGCTCTTCTTACCCTGCCCCATACGTTTTACCCTGATGGGGCTATTTTTAGCCATCTGACCCTCCCAGCTACAGACCCACCCACCCCTCTCTAATGCTGCCAACCCCCCTCCCAGGCCCTCCAAGCCTTTCCCAGTCCCTCCTGCCCCTTCCTGCACCCCAAGTTACTTACACATGGTTCCCCATGTAGTTTTCAGCACCAGTGAATGGCAGTACACACCACTTCCGGTCTACATTAACGTGGCTTATAGTAAGCTGCATGAACATAGACCAGGAAGTGTGAATGACTGGATGCACCCTAAGTTAGTGAACTTTTGGGGTTACTCACTGAGAAAGCACAAGCTATTCCCAAAAGGCAGATAAAAATAAGCGCAGTCTTCATTGTTATATTTCCTGAAAGTAACAAACAGCGTATTGTCAGCACAATTTTTTTCACGTTTACAAAATACTGAAACAGCAACAAAGCTATTAAGATAAAAATCAGGTAGTCTTTTCATCCAGAGATATCCCAGTGAAACGGGCAGGCTATCTATAGCAAATAATTGTATCTGTATGTCATTTCACAGACAAACATAAAAGCTGCTTCTCTAAGAATATGACCATTTCTGGGATTGAATGTGTCATCTCAAGATAGTAAAATCCACTGAGATACATTGTCTGATACATTTTTCCTTTCCCTCAATTGACAAATCATTCATCAATCAATCCTGAGTTCTGCAATGTATTTGTTCTTTGCAAGTATTCACAAAATAGTCTCTAAAAGCAAAGTAAATCAATTTTGTGGACTAAGCCTCTGTTTGCAAGGTCTGACTGGTCTTTTAGGCCACATGTGATTGCTTCCCTTTCCCTGATGGATGACCTGGAACATTTTAGAAAACAAAAGAAAGTGAATGATGAAGTGTGAGCAATTATAGTGACAAATATATATCCAATATGAATTCTCAGACAAATGCTCTTTCATATGAGAGTTCACAAAGCTTCTGGCAACTGCAACCACTTTCACAAATAAAAAAACATTTGTCCTTGTAAACTAAAAATACCCCTATCACCTTATGAATAATAGCAGGAAAAGTTTATCACATTTATTCACAAAAATATTAATGAATCACTTTCTGTATTATTCACCCAAAAGTCACGTTAACTTCCAACAAAGCTCAATAACACTAAGAAATACTAAAATGCAGTAAATCACTAATATATAATATTGGCACTTCAGAAGGAAATATTTAGATAAACAGAATGACATGTTAATATCAATATGTCCAGGGCAGCAAAACCTGGATTATCCTTAGAGATCTTCCATCCAAGAAATAACTGGGTCCAAACTTTGCTTGGTAAATGCAATCAGAAGATCATGAATGAGAGGGTGGGTCGCTAGAGGATTTAGATAACATTCATGTTTAGATAGCCCGATATTTCACTGGTTTATGTAATCCAGGACCTCCTGATTGAAAAACAGTCTTTTGAACTTTTCTCCAAACCTGCCTAAAATCTCAAGATCTTGGCAGACTCTGAACAGTTTTCTGTAGTCTCCATGGGACACGCTGACCTTTGAGGTCTTTGAGGAACACATAGGAGATTTCACTAACATCTACTGCTTTCTTCAGTTTCCCAAACTACCCAGTTATGGCTAGGAGGCAGGTGACAGCTCCACTTCCTTGTTATACACTACAGCAACAAGAACAGGAAACACAGCTGTAGTTCCATACAGATTTCTCTTTCAGGCCTATACATCTGAGACAAGACGGGGGGAGGGAAATCTGCCTTTCGGTAGAAAGGTGTTTTGGAAAAACTATTACCCAACACCCCAAATCCTAACTCCCTAGTAAATGGCAAGGAGATCTAGACACTAGGAGTAAGATATGGACCTGGGACAAGTGAGAGCCACTGTAACGTAGTTGATAATGTAACTACATTTGCACGCCTGCCCGCCTTTGGTCCCTGACTATAATTTCTCTTCTCTGAATTATAGATTTCTCTTTGGTAGAGGAAGCTTGCTCTTAGAAGCAAAATATCCATAGCTTAAGCATTACATACTCACTTATTTCATGAAGGCGAGAGATCAGATGCTTAAAGTCAATCAGCGTAGCTCTAAAAACTTTAGGAGACCTACACTGATTTATACCATCTAAGGATGTGCCTGAACAGCTGAAAATTGCACCTATTTATAACATTTGCTAAATCCATCTAAGCTCCATGTTTGTGACAGTTTCCTTGACTGAATTTGTATTAAGATATGTTGCTTTTTTCTGCTGATCTATGGAGAAACCTGTTTTCTTCCACACTAGGATATTTCTTTTGCTGTTTTCTTTCACACTCGGATATTTTTTATGCTGTAGTAAAGTCAGGCTGGGAAAAAAGCAGTAAAACAACCCTGTTTTTTTAAATATTCAGTAAGGTTTGAGTGCATTTCAGTTATGAAGTACATTGTTTCACATTTTCTTTTGGGTCCTGTGCAGAAGCTGATGGTGAGTTACAGCAAGGTATGGCAGAGCCGGTGATCTTATCAATAAGCATTATTACAGCAATCAAGTATTATTACAGAAATCACACTGCCTTATAAAGAGTACAGAGCATGTTTCAATCCCTTGAAAAGGAGAGAACCAGTAGGTTAGAAATACTGGTGGAAAAGCTTATCAATTTCATTTTAGACACTATATAAAAAAACTAAGCAGAGGTCATACCTGTTTGCTGTCCTGAAGTATGCAGGCTAGTTGCAAGCCAGTGGACAGAGATTTACTAGTTCTTCTGCTTGCTCACTGTAATTCTACTGAAATATAAACTCTATTTTTGCCCTCTGGTAGCCAATCACTGCTTTGCCCTATATGATGTCAGTAAGTGGACTCTTACCAGAAAACCTCCAAACTTCAACACTTTTCTAGTCACAGATTTAGTTTATAAACATAAAACATTGTTCCAGTGCCAGGAGGTTTGTATCGTTCCATTTAATTGAAGGTTTGGACTGAGATGAATGGCTAGGAGGCTGAAATACATATTCTGGATTTAAAATAAAATAAATATTGGGAAATCTGTTTTGGGGGATTTTTTTCCATCCTTTTTTGGAAATTCTGTTAGTGTCTCGCAAAGAAGGTACACAAAGAGGCCTGAATCTTCTCTTAATTACACCCCTATAAATCTGGTGCATATGAATTAGACACAACATGCATGGGCTAGATTCTCACTGTTTATAAACTGGAATCATCATGCTATGCTACACCTGAGGACCTGGCCCATTTCACCAGTACATAGAATGGGTGGGGTGGGGGAGGGCGCACAAATCAGTGCTCTAATAACTTGCGGTTAACATTATAATCCAGAATACTACACAGTGGGCGCTTTTACACAAGATGCTTACTGCACAGTAGCCAAATAACATTGTGCAGTAGCGTGCCAGGCAAAACCTGTGCTAATACCCTGTTGCACAGTGTTATTAGGCTACTGCATAGTTAGCACTTGAAAAAAACCATGCATCGGTACTACTGTGCATTAAATTAGTATTTGCTTATATAAGTACTAAACTTAATGAGCCGTAACTACGGTGTATTAATGAATGTGTAGATGTGTCCAGTGTGCATAAGATTGTTCATTTCAAAGGAACTCAACCTACTTTACAAAATATACAAAGACCTCACCCACTACCAACATTTGGTCACATCTGGGGTGAAACATGGCAACTCTTTAAAGACACATAGCAAAGCTAAATAACTGCTTAGGGCAGAATGTGAAAAATATTTTATGCAACCCAAACTACAAGGGCACACTAAATAGGCAGAGTTCAGTTACTCGGTAGGGGTTTGGCCAGGATACCAGCCTTAACAACCCAACTGTTGCAGAAATGCCTTTGCATCTTTGACCACAAATGGTGAAGTCTTTCATTTTATGGCTCATCTGAAGATGTCACCTACTGCAGCTTTGTTCTTTAAGCAGGCTGGTGTTTGGGCTGAGCACTGACTCAGAGAGTAAATGGCCACCCACTGAATTATTATCACCACTTCCAAAAACCCTGTGTTTGTTGGTCATCTTTCATCAGAACACTGTCTGGCTAAACTTTGCACTCATGCCCCACTTTCATCAGGCAGAGGACACGCAAGCATGAGGGCTAACCTTTCAATAACCTGGGAAGAGTATGTAGTGCCTAGTAGCGATCTACTATAGCAGTCCATCTTGTTATCCAGATATGCTATGTGGGTTGAGTTATCTGGAAGATAGGGGGTGAGTTGGGTGTACTTAACACTAAAGAGTTAAATAGGAAGGAATAGAGTGGATTTAGAGAGTCAAACCTGGTGGGTACAAATACTGAAAGGAACCAAGAGGTTTCACTGAGCCATATGAGTGGATGGATACACCATAAAAGAGCGCACCATGTTTGGACTGGATAGCAATCAGTCACTTGCTAGTGATGCAGGAAGGTTAACTAGCAATGGAACTGAATCTTTTTCTGCAACAAATGAGATAAGTACAGTCAAACATCTGCACACAGGTGAGTGCTGAACATGTCAGAGGGAGGAAGGAACCACTGAACTATGGGATGAAATTAGAAGTACAGCTAAAGTGGAAAGACTCTGCAGAAGAACTGATACTGCCTGATGCAAGGGAGTAAAGAGACTTTTTTTGGGCTCAGCACTGACTCAGAAAGTAAATGGCCACCCACTGAATTATCATTGCCACTTGCAAACACCCTGTGTTTGTTGGTGGTCTTTCATCAGAACACTGTCTGGCTCAACTTGAGAGTAAAGAGACTTTTTTTCTCCCCTCAGAAAGCCAGGATATTGATGAACTGAGGCAGTGCTGGATATAGCTATTCTCTCAGATTTTCAGGGTCAAGGCTGACTTACATATCCTAGAAGCTGGGCCTTGAAATCTGACTGGTACACTGGAAATACCTGCAATGGCCACCTGACATGGAATGCATTATCTGATCCGCTTCTAGCTGTGCCAGGAACCAGTTGCAGCAGAAAAGGAAAGTTTATATGCACCTAGTGAGTAATTAGGGCCATGCTCCTGGATCTTAAGTCAGGCAGGAGTTCCATTTACTTAAATAAATACACATTTTAGAAGCTGAATTGTTTGTTGTTGGAAGGCATCTAAGGGCCCATCAGTGCCAAGCACTCCCCTTTCTGCCACCAAGTCTGGCACCTCATCCCTCCCTCTGCCACTCCATTGGGCCACATATCCTGCCTTCACTCTCTCTTCAGTCTGGGGCTTACTACTCCTTAACCCCTTTGTTTCCAAAACCATCACTTCTCTTTCTTCAGGGGAAGGCCTCCCTAGTCCTCTAGATTCCAGGCCAGGGACCCCATTTTAGGCACCAGAGGACCAGCCTTTCTTCACTCTTACCACTTCCTTAGGCTGCTTTCTACTGATTATGCCTTCTCCACCTGCTCCTTCAACAGCTTCCCTCCATCTATCACTCTAAGGCTCCTGGCATACGTTCATTTAAAGACACAGTGGGATCTGACCCCCAATCCCAACACACATGCTTCTGCCATGCTATGCTTATCTTCTGGTCCAGCTTTCATCCCTCCAATCTCACCCTGGCCCTAAGGGGAGCTGCCACCACTTTTCCCTAGCCAGCATAGGCTGGGACCACCAGTGCTACTGACTGTCCCACTGTAGACCTGACTCCCTGTTTTAGTACAATTAAAGTTAATATTGGAATACTGTTATGACCATGCACAGTAATGGTCAAGCTCAAAAACCTCCTAGAAGGAATGAACTAATGAACTCTTGACCTACTTAGGAATGGTAAGCTAGCACAGACGTGTTCATGAAACTGGCAGGAAGGCAGAGAGAGAACTCCGAGGTAAACGTATGAGACAGTTTTGACTGACAGGAATGTATCAAGGTGAAAATGAAGATGAGTGGTGATGCATATGATGGAAAGGCAGTGATCCAGGATGATTGGTTAAGTGAAGGTGGTTGTTGTCTTCTTCTCATGTCCCTATACCACATTTGACCATTTTGTTACACATGCTTGTGCTTGTTTATTGTACTTTGCAAGATATTCCACTTGTACATGGGCCTTCAAGCAGCAGATGTTACATAGTCTGAGGCTCTGTGTCATATTCAATGGTATAGGCCCACTTCTTCATTAGTTCCTTGAAGTGTCCAACACCAGTGCGTAGATGGTTGATGGTGTGTGATGATGGTAAGCTAAAGTGGTGGGATGAGGAGAGAGACATAAGATGTAAAAGACAGGTGCCTGAATGGAGTGGTGGAAACGGTTTTGTGCTGGGTCTTTTGGTGTGTGTGGGGTCGATTTGTTCAACTCGTCCTCACCTTGGTTTCTGGTCTTCTTGTTGGCTTGTTGCTGAGATACTGAAGAGGAAAGCTCATGTTTCACTCATCCAGTTTGAAGCTGCCAGATGTCAAGAGGGCTCCATTGTGTGGGTGAGTAAGCAAGCAGGTTCTCGTGCATCTGAGCTTGCTTGAGTGCATGCACTGAGATGCAGCTGCTACATTAGATCAAAGGAGTCTGATCTAGCGTGAGCTGTGGTGTGAGAGTGTGTGAGTGCCAGGACAAGCCTGCTCCTTTTCTATAAGCATCGTTCCAAGGTTAACCATCCCATTAGTTGCTTAGTAACATATTTACCATATTTCCTTGAATTGTCCTTGTTCACTCTAGACTGTGTTAGTATTTCATGGTTATTGATTTTTCATTTTTTTCATTGTTCTTGTTTTATGTTGGCATCTTTAATTTCCTTATTGTTTTCTCTAATAAACTAGGAAAACCAAGTTGGGTACCCTAAACAGCACTGCTTGGCATCTTGGATATCCTTACCCTTTTATCCACCCCTTTCATGGCCTGAGAAAAGTGGGATCCAATCCCTTCCTAAATTTGCCCCTCAATACCACAGCCAGAGCAGAACAGCAGTAGACTAGGCATTAAGTGGCTAATCATAATTAAAGTGCACAGCCCAGGAAGTGGGCTAGGTGCTCAAGAATTTGACAGACTCTAGTATGAGAGGATTTGTTCCTCCAGGCCTTCAGAGCTTTAGTGAAACCAAAGAGCCACAGAACTCTGAGGGGCTCTTGGCCAACTTGGACAAGAAATGCCTGGTAAAGCAACAGAGCTATTGATCTGCTGGTACCTCTCTTCTCCATACCCCAACCTTGCCTCCCAGAGCTCAAAAGACATAATAAGCCATAACAATAGTCCATGTAGCAGGATAGAGCTCTTTGCTGCATGCATCTCTGGCTCCTGCCATTGGGCAGAGCAGAGGAGTTGCACTCGTTTTCTCCCTGGTCTCAGGATGGAAAGGTTGAGTTTGTCTCCGTGTAATAAAGGGGGAGCTGGTAGCAACACCTCTAGTTATGAGAGTTTCTCATGATAAGATCTTGTTTTTAGATGATCATACCTGTGCCATACTTAAACCATTTGGACTAAAATTCCCCAGCTTGCCTCAACATTTGAAAGTTTTGCTGGAAGTGGTCCCACCATTTCCAAGAATGAGATTAGGAGAAAACATTTTTGAGGGGAGTTGGGGGTGGAATCTTATAACCATTTCACTAAGCTGTTCTAACCCCTTCAGGCACTGTAGCAGAAACTTGAACTTTGGCAGAAGGAATGAGTAACCCTGGTGTCAGAGATGGGCCTTTCTGTGAAAACCCGTCCAAATTTGGTCAAGTTATCAGCCTTTATTAAACAAAATGAGATTTTTTGAAAGACTGAATAAAAGCACAGACAAAACATTATCAAACCCAAGTGTTTAAACACCATGAGTCAAATCTTCAAAGAGCATGAGCTTTTCTTAAAAAAGA